GATCTGAGTATCACATGTTCTCACTCATATAGTGGACCTTGAACATCTACCATAATACTATTAAAAAAGGACTGACAGTGGTGGTAAACTATAGTGGGGGTTGTGAGGGGAAGGGGGGTGGGACTAATGGTGGTCAATATCTGTCTGGGGATGAGAAGACACCCCTTATTTACAAGGGTGCCTGAACAATGCACATTTGTATACCTAACCCTTAACTGTACCCCACAATTTTATAATAAAAAATATGTTAAAAAAAAAAACGACAGCATCAACAAAGAATGTGTGACAAGTGTGTATCCCGGTGTCTGATGAGACGACCTTCCTAGAAATATCACCCACAGAAATTATACTCAAGCCTTGAAACCATAACTGAACTATAGGATTGCTTGCTCTCTTGTCCAAATGGAGTTTTAATCTGTGTTGGAATTTTTCTTTGGGCTGTGTTGTCACAAACCCTCAATCCTCCTGCTTGGTTCAAAATCAAATTCATCGTTTCCCTCTGACATGAGCTCTCAGTCAGCTTTCCTCTCTCTGTATCCCAGCATCTCAGTTTGGTTAGCATGTGGCTTCATCTCTGACGCACTCCCCTTCTCCGTCAACTCCCCTCAATTCTCCTCCCCACACAGGGAGTCCCAAAGACAAAAAACCCTCTCAAGGTTTCATCTTCTCTCCATGTCTACTGCCCCAGTCCAATCTCTCCAGCTGATGTCCCTTTCTCTGGGTCTCTCTCCCTTTGGTTCCCAGCTATCAAGTGTTTCAGTCCTAAAGTTCAATGTTTCTTTTTAGATTTATCTGTGCATTTAGGTTAACATTCAAACCTTTAGGGGTTGTACTTTAGTGCGTTAGCAATATCTCCCAGCGTGTGGTCTCTTATTAGACACGTTTTTTACATCTTCACTAAAATCCCTGATTAAATGCTTGATGGTCCAGAACTAAGAACTGAGCCTTGAGGTAGTCTGCCTCTGCCCAGATATTCAGGAAGGGGAGTAGCAAGAATGCCCATCTACTCCCAGAGTAGAGAGGAGTTGAGTCATATTTCTCAGAGGGAAGGAGAAAAATATTGTTTTCAAGATAAAAGAAGCTGGGGAAAGAAACCATCTTGACCAATGGGAATGAGAGACTAATAAATGTTACTCAGCATCTCTGCTCAAACATTTAAGTGAAAACAAGTTCTAAATCTAAACTTAAAAATTCAATGTGAAGCTGCTGAATTATATATTGGAAAAGAAGTTTAGCTAGGGCAATCCAAAAATGATTAAAATTGGTAGGAGTCAGTTAAGACCACTTTTGAGCTGTGCTCCCATAGGTCAAATAAAACTCTGCCACCAAGGAAAGAAGTGTGAGTCCTAGGAAGTTCCTATTCTGAGTGGGCATCAGGGGTCCTGGGTTCTAACCCAGGTGACCTCTGCTTGCTTAGACTTATAAGCCAACTCAGTTCCTTTGTGGAAGGAAGCAAGGGAGCAGCTATACATGGAAGAACCTTGTCCCTGAATTCTTTTTCTTTTCTTTTCTTTTCTTTTTTTTTTTTTCTTTTTCTTTTTTCGAGTTGGCGTCTCACTTTTTTGACCAGGCTAGAGTGCAGTGACACACTCCTGACCACCCCAGCATCAACCTGCTGGGCTCTGTCAATCCTTCTGCCTCAGCCTTCCAAGTAACCGGAACTACAGGTGCACGCTACCATGCCTGGCTAATTTTTTTGATTTATTGTAGAGACGAGGTCTCTCCAAGTTGCCCGGACTGGTCTCGAACCCACAGGCTCAGGCAATCCGCTCACCTCGCTCACCCAAAGTGCTGGGATTATAGACTGAGCCACCGAGCCTGGCCTGTCCCTGGATTCTTAGAAGAGGAATCCAAACCCCTCTGGGTGAACACGTAGAACTGGAGAACTCTGGACACATGACAACTCCATCCAAACCCCTGCACTAAGAGACTGGACCAAACTGTAGCACAGCTTCTAGCTGCATAAGGCTCTGTATCAAGGATGAAACCAGCTTCTTATTAAAATGCTTGCATGAAAAGATTCTACCTTACCAGGAAATTTTACTATTTGTTCTATCCAACACACCTCTGAAGATGGGCCCCTGGGTTCCCTTTTTTGAAGTATTTACTAAAAGGAACTTACAATTGTAAATACGTATCTCTTGCAACTCAGAAGAATTTATGTCAAGGACCTGAGAGCAATTCCTTTGGAATGGAATCAGCAAGAAGGATAAGACCTCTATCTCCCAAACTGTGTGGGAGGATGGACTCCTGACTTTTATAACTGCTGGCTAACAGACACAGCTGGCCCCATTGCATTGATACTGACCAACACTTTGTCCTTTTTCACTTGTCTGATTCTACTGAGTCGTGTCCACCCCCCTGCTCTTTCTCTCTATAAAATGTCCAAATCACTCCTGTATAGATCAGAATGGAGTTCAGCTCTCTCCCCTACTGTCAGTAGTTGCTGAATCCAATCTGTTTTCATAACTGTAATAGTCTAGCTGCGTTAATCTTAGACAACGCCGCGGGTGCTCTATCAGACCAAGAGAACCTTCAGGATCCTTCCAGAATGAGCATCTCAGCACTTCTGAGCTCAGAGACCTACTTGTTTTGAAGCCTCCAGGTAGGATGACGATGACTTTCACTCCCCATTGGGAAAGCTCTTTTCTCATAATGGATGAAAACATGATCAGAGCCGCCTTTGATGAGCCATAGGCTGCCAGCTTTTCCATTGGGCACCCTCCTATGGGAAAAATGGGAGAAAAGAAATCAAGTCTGATGTTTTCATGTGTTCATTCAATAAATATTTAATCAGCACCTACTGTATGCCAGGAACTAGTATCAGTAACAAAAGCAAAGAAGGGCCCTCTGTGTCCAGGTGAGTGCATGAATTCTTGGTCATGCCCATTGCAGGACTTCATTTGCTTCTGTCTTCCTTGGCTCCTCCATCACAGCTAGCACAATGACAAGCCAGATTTAAGGTTTCAATCTTGCCCAACTACTAACCAAAATGTCACTTAGGTAAGATTGAGAACATCTATCCACCAGCCCCTTACCTTTCAGCCTGATCAACCTGCATTCTGAGGTTCTAGGTGAACTATTTTTGTTGTTGTTGGGGAGGGTCTACTCTTCAACTCACTACAGCTCCTGTGGTTGAACAAATTGGGCATAATACTTGTTGCAGTGAGGACACCATGGGGAATCATGAGGCATTTCTGTAAAAGTGTGGAAAAAGATGTATTCTATGGCTGGGCAGATGCTTTTTATCCCACCTAAATCATATTAAGCTTAGAAGTTAGTGAGATTGAACCTTACACTGGGTTTGTCATTGACCATCTGTAAGAAAGAAGCTGCGGAAGGCAGAATCAAAGAAAACCAGAAAGTGGGGGCAACCTATTTGGAATAATGGTCTCTGCAGATGTAATTCAGATAAGGATTTCTAGAAAAGATCATCCTGGATTAGGATGGGCCTTAATTCTAATAGCGGGTGTCCTTATAAGAAACAGGAAAGGAGAAGACACATAAGGATACGGAAGAAGGCCATGTAAAGACGGAGACAGATTGGGGTTATGCTGCCACGAGCCAAGGAACACCAGGGCCACTGGAAGCTGAAAGAGGCAAGGATAGATTCTCTCCTGGAGCCTTTAAAAGGAGCACGGCCCCACCTGTACTTGATTTAGGTTTCTGGCCTCCAGAACTGTGAAAGAATAGATTTCTGGCTGAGGCGGAAGGATCGCTGGAGCCCAGCAGGTCGAGGCTACAGTGACCGGGAGCGGTCTGGGTGACAGAGTGAGACTCCAACTCAAAAAAAAAAAAAAAAAGAATATATTTCTGTTGTTTGAAGCCACTCCGTATGTGCTCATTTATTACAGCAGCTCTAGGAAATGAATCCAGATGTATTCCTGGTGATCTTCAGTGGGAAGATATTGACATTGTGAAGCACAGTACTGAGAGGACTTCACAGGTACCCAGAAAGACTGGACCCATGACTCAGGTCTCCCAGTCTAGGCAAAGGTTTCCCTGGTTAAAGAAACCTGGGTGAATGGATAAACAAACTGTTCTACAGTCGCCGTATGATAGAACACACCTCAACCATCAAGAGAAATGAACTTGATATATGTAACAACATAGATGTCTCAAAATAATTATGGGAGTGGGTGAATGGAAGCAGCTGAACAAAAAAGAGTCCATACTCTTTGTTATGCTTCCATTTGTGCAAAATTCTAGAAAATGCAAACTCATTTCTAGTGACAGAAATAGATCCGTGGTTACCTGCAGGGTGAGGGTGCTGTGGACTGAATTGCGCCCCTCCCCCCAAATTCATATGTTGAGGCTCTAACCCCCTAGTGTGATAATATTTGGAGATAGAACCTTTCTGAGGTAATTAAGTCATAAGGTTGGAGCCCTCGTGATGAGATTAGTGTCCTTTTAAGAAGAGACACCAGAGAACTTACTCTGTTCACCACATGGACACACAGTGTTTGGCTCTTTACAAGACAGGAAGAGAGCCTTCACCAGAACCTGATCATGCTGGTACCCTGATCTCAGACTTCCAGCCTCCAGAATTTCAAGAAAGAAATTTCTGTTGTGTAAGTCTATACTATTTTGTTATGAGTTCTAGCAAATTAATGGGGGGGGGGAGGAGAAACAGGGAGAACCTAGAAAGGGAGTTAAGGAAACTTTTGAGGATAATAAACTTATAGACTGCCTTAATTGTGGTGATGGTCTTAGGCGTCTATACCTATATATACATCTACATTTGCCAAATTATATGCCTTACATCTGAGTAATTTAGAATGTGTCAATTATATCTCAATTTTTTTAAATTAAAAAAGAAGAAGCCACTGTACTTTAAGAGACCATGAACAGCTTGGCAAAAGCCAGGAATGATTTCATGAAATTTTACTCTGCCCTGAACCCCCAGTACATTCAAATAACTATTAAGGGGTGGGAAGGGAAACTCCAGTGTTTCCTGATCTTATCTTTCCACATATCTCGGTTTCACCAGGTTTCTTAGCCCATGAGAGTCTCACCAAATCAAATGTCTCTAGTTTTGCACATGCTTGTCTGTGTCCTCTTGGTGTCAAGCACTTTGCAATCAGTTCTTTTTCCTTGTCAAAGTATCTTTCAATCTAACTAGGCATGCTTCATCCATGGGAGAATAGCTTCCTGGCCCTGAGCTTTTTTGCCTGCACTCTTACACCATCCAAAATTTAAAGTGTTTAACATGAGACTTTAAGACCACAAAATAACAGCTCATAGCTACATCTAACATTTATTAAGGCTAATTTTTTTATTTTTATTTTATTTTATTTTTTGAGTCTCACTCTGTTGCCCAGGTGGTACGTGCATGGCCACCACAGCCTCAACCTACTGGGTTCAGGCGATCCTTCCGCCTCAGCCTTCCAAATAGCTGGAACTACAGGCACATGCCACCATGCCCGGCTAATTTTTTGGTTTATTGTAGAGACGAGGTCTTGCCAAGTTGCTGAGGCTGGTCTCAAACCTGTGGGCTCAGGCAATCCTCTCTCCTGGACCTCCCAAAGTGCTGGGATTACAGGTGTGAGCCACCATGCCCAGCAGGGCTAACTTTTTAAAGGAAGACCTACAGCATCACCCCAGAGTTGGTTGTGAGTAGGATAAATTCTTTTTTTCTTTTTTCTTTTTGATTGGAAAATATAGTTTATTTAGAAAGTAAATTAGAAAGAAAGTGAGAGAGAGAGAGAGAGAAGAGATTCACCTCTTCAAGGTAGGAGAGGGGACCAAAACTTAGAAAACATGGCAGTGGCCATAGCTCAAAGAGCATGTGGCAACTCCAGAGTTTAGTAAAGCAATGGCCCTAGGAGAGACCCTTGTTTCCAGATAGGCTTTCAGTTGCCCCTTTCTGGACTCCCATAAAACACTGGGCTCATTTCTGCACACAAAGGATCATGGATAGCAAGAACCATGATGCGTTACCTAGGTCTGATTTCTTAAAAGGCAATCTTAGTAGAGACATTGGTCATTTCTTGGCATTTCATGAAACTGGGCCTTGAATTTTACTGTCTATCCTCAATCATTTGAAAGCCACACAACATAGTTAAAAAGAACATGGGATGATAAAATTGTCTGAAACCAAAACACACACACATACACACACACACACATACACACACACACACACACACACACACACACACACACACGTATAAGTAAAACTGGGGAAATCAGAATAAGATTGGTGGATTGTTATCAATGTCAATATGCTGTACTATAGTTTTGTAAAATCTTATCATTAAGATGCACTAGGTATCTCTTATTCCTTACAACTTCAGGGAAATCTACAATTACTTCAATAAAAATTTCAATTAAAAAAAGAGCATGGGTATTGAAAAATAGATACCAGCCAGGCTCGGTGGCTCAGCCTGTAATCCCGTGCCTTTGGGAGGCTGAGGTGAATGGATTGCCTGAGCCCGCGGGTTCGAGACCCACCTGGGCAGCGAGACCTCATCTCTACAATAAATCAAAAAATCAGCCAGGCGTGGTAGTGCATGCCTGTAATGCCGGCCACTTGGAAGGCTGAGGCGGAAGGATCGCCGGAGCCCAGCAGGATGAGGCTGCGGTGGCCGGGAGCAGCCACTGCACTCCAGTCTGGGTGACAGAGTGAGACTCCAACTCAAAAAAAAAAAAAAAAATAGATACCTAGAATAGTTCACATCAATTTTAATTATTATTCTCACATTATTATTAAAACTCTGATCTGGCCCATGTGATTCCCTTTTGAGACATGCCAGTTCTTTCCTTCTCATTAAGAGAAGCAGACTGGCCAACCATAATCCACCATTGCCTCGACATTGAGATAGGGCTGGGGGTGAGAAAGCTACCCAAATTAAGCTAGAGTCCTTCCTGGGAACTGATACAATGGTAGAGATGAGATGGCTTTATTGCTTATTTCTGGCTACTTAGGTGTATTGTCACACCATTATCAATGGAAGACTAGAGCTCTCAGGGACTGGTTTTTGCTATAGCATAAGAGAAGGTAAGCAGATAAAAAGGGGAGAAAAGCAGCTGGGGAAGGAGTTGGAAGAGAAAATGGAGATTGGAGGTGGAGGACAGTTATGGTGACATCATCTTAAAACTTGGTCCCAGCCAATTGGTGAGCTAATAAATTCCTCTTCCATTTTTGTTTTAAGCTATTTTGAGGTTTAACCTTATCACTTAAAATGAAGAGTCCCAAGACTTAACTGATATAGTTTCAATACAATGTCTGGCATCAAACAGGCTCTCATTAAATTGATTCCCTTCTTGCCACAGATGATCAACTGACTTTTATTTAAGTGATCTATAGTTTCACAATATCTTACTGCTTGAAATCCAATTCCTTCTTTTTACTACTAAGAAAGGCCAGAGAAGTTAAAGCAACTTGTTCAATGTCACACTGTCGGTTGTGTGGCACCTGGGGTTAGCCCGAGTTCTCACTTCTCCATGATTTTTACAGATGATGGAGGTTGGCCAGATACAAGACAGGTTCACAGAGGGCAGTGGTTAAGATCCAGATTCTGCAGCTGACACTGCCTGCATTCAAATTCCATCTCTGTCATTGATTAGCCACCTGTTCTCAGGAAAGTTGCTTTATGTTTATATGTCTATGTCCTTTAATCTGTAAATTAACAATAGTGACAGTTCGTGCATCATATGGTTTTTGTGAACGTTAAATGAATTGATATATTAGAATAGTGCTTGGCACAAAGTAAACTCCACATG